TCGCTGTTTGCCACGCCAGCGGAGGCTGTCTCCTCGGGGCTGGGGTCGGCCATCTTGGAGGGGCTGCTCGGTCACCAGTCCCTGGGGACTTGGGCCGGTGTCAGGTCCTGGGAACAGGAAGCCGGGCTCAGCCTGGGAGGAGCGGCTGGTGGGGCTGAGCGAGTCCGGGCGCCCCGGGACCTTCCGCGGGGAGCGCCACAGGCACCTGCGGCCTGGGCTCGCCGGGCGCTGCTTTTCTCAGCTTCCTTCAGGCACTAGGGTGCCAGGGGCTCCACACCTGACTTGTCCGCTGGCTGATTACCCCGGAAGTCCCGAGAGCGAGCGTCACGGGGTCGAGCTGGCTTTTTCTCAAAGTGCGCTCACAGCCAGCACCCTTCCACAAGAAACTAAAATTCCGGGTCTGTCAGAACCTGGAGCCCCAGCCCTTAAAACACAGGAAACGGGCCCAAACCACAACCTGAACCTGGCAGCCGCAGCTCCCCCATCCCCAGGGCCACTGCAGAGGCCCCCCCCCCCCCCCCCCCCCGGCTCAGCAGGTCCCCCTCCCCAGGGAGGCGTTCAGCAGTGGGGACAACGTGGGGTCCCACAGGCACCAGGACCCCCCCCCCCCGCCCCCAACTTGGCTTCTCTGAAAAGTGTTCCCAGGAGACTGGCCAGGGACCCGGTGCGAACGGCACCTTTAGGTCAGGTCCCTGCCCGCCCCCACAGTGCCGCGCTCTGAGCCACGAGCAGTGCTCTTCATGGTGTCCACTCAGCGGACAGAAATGCCTAACAGGGACTCAGCTGCTGAGCTGGCATAAACGTGAGGCAAGGTCACCGGGGCAGAGTGAGAACTGCAGAGCCTTCTCGGGGAGAAGTGGTGAGTGCGGCGGGCCGGGGAGGGGCTGCCTGCGGACTCGGGCCTCTGGAAGGTTCCAGAACCAGCCAGCAAGGACTGGGCTCCAGCTGCGGCGCTCATGGTTCCCCCAGGTCTCTGCGATCGATAACTGTGCTCTGACCAGACCACAGCCAGCACCATGCCCCTCCGGCCGGGAAGGTGGGAGACAGCGCTGTCCTCGGGAGCAGGGCGAGGCCTCTGCTGTGCGGCCCAGAGCGAGGCTGTTTCTTTCTGCAAACGTGTCCTCGGGTCCCTCCCAAGCGTGCGCCATCCTGGGCTCCCGGGGTCGAGGTCTGCAGGCCGGTGAGGGCCCCTGGGAGAGGCCCCGCTCAGCACGTGTCTCAGCCCGGCGCCCGAGTCGCGGGCGTCCCCTCGATGGAGCCGCCGGCCCGCCCGCGGCCCAGGACAACGCGGCGGACACGGGCCTGGGCTCTGCACCGAGTACGTGGGGAAACGACATCCCCGCAGGCCAGACGCAAGCAGCTTTTAATTTATTTACTTTTGGTTGTTGTCTTGTTATTGTCGTTGTTTTCGGTTAATCTTCACCTGAGGGTAATTTCCCATTAAATTTTTTAGAGAGAGAGTAAGGGAGGGGGAGAGACAGAGAGAAACATCGATGTGAGAGAGACATATTAATCTGTTGCCTCACACATGCGCCCCGACCAGGGCTGGGAATCGAGCCCACAACTGAGGTACATGCCCTTGACCAGAATCAAACCTGGTTCCCTTCAGTCTGCAGGCCGATGCTCCATCCACTGAGCCAAACTGGCCAGGGCTGGCTGTTTGTTTTTTGAAACATGTTTTTATTGATTTCACAGAGGAAAGGAGAGGGAGAAAGGGAGAGAAACATCACTGATGAGAGAGAACCATCCATCAGCTGCCTCCCGCACGCCCCACACTGGGGATCGAGCCCACAACCAGGGCCTGTGCCCTGACCCGGAATTGAACCCTGACCTCCTAATTCATAGGTCAAAGCTCAACCACTGAGCCATGCCGGCCGGGCGAAACAGGCAGTTTCACTGGGATGACAGCGTATCACGTGTTAAAGTAACCATCCCGGCAGCTCCCGGGCTGGCAGCTCTGACCACTGAGCGGTGACGGCCAGATGTCGAATCCACAGTCCAGGTCACCGCCCACAGCCCAGCCCACGAGCTCTGCCAACTTCTCACTCCATTTACAGAAGCAAATGGCAGGTTCTCGTGAGGAAAGGGGTGGATTTAGAATATCAAAAGCAAGGAGGGCAAAGCACACAGATATGGGACATGGAGCCTGGCCCGGCTTCTGCTGGAATTATCCCAGACACGGAGGCCAGGCTCCCCGAGCTGCAGGCCCGTGTGGTGGGACTCAGGTGTGCGTCAGGCCGGGCGCGGGCGGACAGGAGCGCATGTGCGAGAGGAAGACCGGAAGGGAAAGTCTGGGGCCCCCCGTCCCGTGACCCCTCGGCGTGGGACTGCCGCGAGGGGGGTGGAGGCCTCTGCGGGGGGAGGGGCGGCCGCAGCCCCGGGGCCCGGAGCCCAGTCCAGCTGGGCACACGGCGACCCGCCCACGGGGAGGTGGGAAGTTGGGGCTTGGGGGCTGGGGGGCCCCAGGGCCCCTCAAAGCACAGATGTGGCAAATGCACGCTGGGCGAAAGCTGCCAAGACGGAGAGACAGAGACGGCAGAAAAGCAGCAAGTCACCCCAAGCTCCTTCCTGGAGGCCAGGGCAGGTTAGCCACAGGAGGGCAACACAGGCTGCTGTCCCAGCCCCCGGCCCGGCCTGCCCTCCTCACACCCACACACCCTGCCCTGCCACCCCGGCTGGTGTCCAGCTGCTGGACCTGTTGAGTGTCAATGCCAGGCGCCCGGGTCCTGTCCCGGCACCATCGGCTGTTCTGCCCGGCATGCACGCTGAAGGGCTGGCACCTGCAGTGACTCACACACGCCCAGCTTAGTGTTTGGCATTTTACAGAGCTGTTTTGTTTTATTTATTTATTATTTATTTATCTGCCTACTTATTGTTAATCTTCACCTGAGGATATTTTTCCATTGCTTTTTAGAGAGAGTGGAAGGGAGGGAGACAGTAGAAACCTCGATGTGAGAGACACATGGATTGGTCACTTCCCGCGTGCGCCCCAGTCAGGGGTGGGGGTTGGAACCTGCAACCCAGACACATGCCCTAGACTGGGAACAGACCCCCATCCATGGCTCCATGGGCTGACACCTGCCCACGGAGCACCACGGCAGACGCAGCTCCAGGCGCAGACGCCGCGTCGGACACCCCCACTCCAGGTGCAGAGAACGAGGCCGTCGTGGTGTACAGCCCAGGCCGACCACAGCCCGGCTCCGGCCGGAGCGGAAATGAACGGACTGAACGTCATTGTCCAGGGTTAGTCTTTATTAGCCACAGCAGCCTTCATCACTCTGACACAAACACCTGAGTATTTTAGCGCTCATGAAAACCAAGTTATAAATATTGCTTTTGAAAACAAAGGACGCGTCCCAGGGCCCGGCCCACGCTGGCAGCACCCTCTGGCTCGGGGCACCCCATCTCTCCCACACCAGCACCTCCTGCTTGGGGGTCCCCCCCGCAGGAGAGCGGCCAGACACGCGGTTTCCGGAGCACCTCAGAGCCCGCCCACGGAGCGGCCGCAGTGTGCAGAACGCCCGTGTCGCGGGGCAGGCGGGCGCGCAGCCGGGCCCGGTGCCGCAGTGTGCAGAACGCCCGTGTCGCGGGGCAGGCGGGCGCACAGCCGGGCCCGGTGCCGCAGTGTGCAGAACGCCCGTGTCGCGGGGCAGGCGGGCGCACAGCCGGGCCCGGTGCCGCAGTGTGCAGAACGCCCGTGTCGCGGGGCAGGCGGGCGCGCAGCCGGGCAGGGTGCCGCAGTGTGCAGAACGCCCGTGTCGCGGGGCAGGCGGGCGCACAGCCGGGCCCGGTGCCGCAGTGTGCAGAACGCCCGTGACGCGGGGCAGGGTGCCGCAGTGTGCAGAACGCCCGTGTCGCGGGGCAGGCGGGCGCACAGCCGGGCCTGGTGCCACAGTGTGCAGAACGCCCGTGTCGCGGGGCAGGCGGGCGCACAGCCGGGCCCGGTGCCGCAGTGTGCAGAACGCCCGTGTCGCCGGGCAGGCGGGCGCACAGCCGGGCCCGGTGCCGCAGTGTGCAGAACGCCCGTGACGGGGGGCAGGCGGGCGCACAGCCGGGCCCGGTGCCGCAGTGTGCAGAACGCCCGTGATGGGGGGCAGGCGGGCGCGCAGCCGGGCCCGGTGCCGCAGTGTGCAGAACGCCCGTGTCGCCGGGCAGGCGGGCGCACAGCCGGGCCCGGTGCCGCAGTGTGCAGAACGCCCGTGTCGCCGGGCAGGCGGGCGCACAGCCGGGCCCGGTGCCGCAGTGTGCAGAACGCCCGTGACGCGGGGCAGGGTGCCGCAGTGTGCAGAACGCCCGTGTCGCCGGGCAGGCGGGCGCACAGCCGGGCCCGGTGCCGCAGTGTGCAGAACGCCCGTGTCGCCGGGCAGGCGGGCGCACAGCCGGGCCCGGTGCCGCCGGAGGCCTCAGGGCCGTCACTCCGAGCACCTGGGACCCAGGGGCACTTAGCACAGCACCCCAGTGCTTTTCCACAACCCGTGTGGCAAGCGTCACCCGAGCAAACACACCGAGCCCCTGGCCTCCCATCTCCCGGGGAGCAGGTGGGCGGGAGCCGCAGCTGTCCTGCCCCTCCTGGCCGCTCACTGCTCTGTCCATGTCTGAGCTCGAGCAGGTTTTAGGTTTAGATCCTCGATTTCAAGTACTCTGTTTCCCCAAAAATAGGACAGTGTCTTATATTAATTTTTTCTCCCAAAGTTGTGCTAGGTCTTATTTTCAGGGGATGTCTTATCTTTCCATGCGCTAGGTCTTATTTTTGGAGGATGTCTTATTATCGGAGAAACATGGTAGGAACTGTCTGAACAAGCAGGCACTGCCCTCCCTATTGCCCTGACAGCCCCACAGGTGTGACCTCCTGGCGACCTCGGGAGGGGGGTCTGAGGGCACCTGGACCCAGGGCTGGTCGCCAGCCCCTCGCACGACACCCCACCCCACCCCCACCCGTGGCCTGCCGCCCTCTGCTCCCCTCCACTCGGAATCCCACAGAGCGGCGGGCCTGCACTTACGAGACAGGGAGTGGGTGCCCTTGGGCAGGTACTCCAGCAGGAGGGCGCTGTCGTCCCCGAGCACGTCGGCCTTGAGGGACAGCAGGCTGTTCTTACTCATGAGCGCCGCCCGCAGGTTGGCCACGGCGGTGGCCTGCTGCAGCGCCTCGTCCTTCTCGGGGGTGAGGGGCCGGCCCAGGTAGCTGGCTTCTGCCCCCAGGAAGCCCTCGTCCACGTGGGCACAGGGGTCCACCCTGTCCCCGCGGCTGTCGGAGCTGCTGGCCTCGGCGACGGTCAGCTCTGCATCTGGGAGGAGACAGAACTGAAGGTCACTTCAAGGCTCTCCAGGCGGGGATCCGCCAGGGCCACGCGCTTCCTGTCAGCCACCCCTCTGCCGCCGCCCAGGACACGCCCGGCCAAGAAGGCCCCGCTGGGCCGCTCGCGCTGCGCCCGGGCCGCAGGCTCCGGCTGCACCTCGCTCACAGACCGCCTGCTCCCCTAAATCTACAGACCCCAGCGAAACCTCCTGGAGGGCACCTTTGTGATCTTAGGCAAAGACTTCTTAGCTAGGACACCCAGAGAGCGTGAACCACAATAAAAGAAGTTCACAAATTGTACTTTGTCGAATTTTAAATGTGTGCTCCTCAAAAGACAGTGTGAACTAAAAATGAGCCAAAGACTGGGAGAGAAAGCACAGGAACTGTCAGCTCAGCAGTGACAAGCAGACAAGGTCCCCACAGGAGGTGCTGGCAGCCAGCCACGCCCACAAACACGCCGCCCGCCCGCCCGCCGGCAGGACCTCCTGAGCGGACACCGAGGAGGCGAGCGGCCACAGCCTGGCCCGGGCCCACAGCGGCTTTGGGTGTCACAGCCAAAATCTCCAAAATGACCGCACAGCCCGCAGCTGAGTGAAGGGGTCAGCTGACAGCCAGGGCAGAAGGGCACCCGGCAGCACAGGGTGACTCGTGGACGCCACGGCCACAGGAAGGGGACTCAGAGCACGCCGAGCGTCACAGGCGTGGACGGGGCCTGCGCCAGGGCTGGGTCCGAGCCAGAGCCGCCTCAGGGTCCCGGACGTGGCTGGCTGTGGTCTGCACGATGACGTCCTGGGGGCCACGCGAAGGAGCACAGGCTGCCTCCCATCACTGCTTACAGCCATCTACCGTACCATTGTCTCCAAGTGAGCTCTGTGATTGCACTGCTCAAGCTGGCCGCTGGGAGGCGTCCGGAGGGGCTGCTGGGAGGACATGGTGGTGGGAGGGCTGGCAGAAAGGGCGGGAGGGGGCATTCTTGGTGGTAGAAATGGTCTCTCTCCTCACAACAGAGGTGTGACATCTGCCAAAACCCATCAAACTCACTCACTAGAGTGGTTAAAATTAAGAATACAGTGAAAGGAAAAGGAAGGGGAGGGGAGGGGAGAGTCCTGGCCAGTTTGGTGCAGTGTTTAGAGTGTCAGTCTGGAGACTCAAGAGTCACGGGTTCGATTCCGGTCAAGGGTATGTACCTCAGTTGCAGGTCCCCTGTGGGAGGCAGCCAGTCAATGTTTCTATCTCTCTGTCTCTTCCCCTCCCTCCACTCTCTAAAAATCAATGGGGAAATGTCCTTGGTGAGGATTAACAACAAAAAGGCAGCTCTGGCTGGGTGCTCAGGTGGCTAGAGCATTGTTCCATACACTGGGAGGTTGAGGGTTCAATTCCCAGTCAGGGCACATATCTAGGTTGTGGGTTTGATCCCAATTGTGGTGCATATGTAAGGCAACCCTCTCACATTGATGTTTATCTTTCTCCCTTCCTCTCTCTCTGAAAATCAATGAAAACATCCTGGGGTGAAGATTAAAAAAATAAATAAAAATTAAAAAGACAACGGGCCGAGCTACAGAGGCTGTGGGGCCGCCCAAACCCACTCGCATTCCACTTAGAAAAGCCTGCAGGCCGGCAGCTCAGCGCAGAGGGTCCACCGAGAGCCAGGAAGCCCGGGTTCAATTCCTAGTCAGGCTCAGGCCCAGGCCGCAGGCTCGACTCCCAATGGGGGGTATGCAGGAGGCAGCTGATGGATGATTCTCTCTCCTCACTGATGTTTCCATCTCTCTCTCCCCCTTCCTCTCTGAAACCAGTAAGAACACATTTAAGAGAAAGAGCTGGCCATTCCTGATAACCCTGAAGCCGCCCCTCAGCCACTCTGCGCCGAGGTCTTCACTCAGGAGAAGTGAAAGCTCGAGGCAGCTGGCGCCGAGCGCCCAGAGGCTCACTCCGCAGCGCAGCGCAGCGCAGCGCCGGCTGGCCAGAGGCCGGTCAGGGCGGCGGCATTTCAGGCCGCAGAGGACGCCGACCACCGGCGCTGCCCAGGGCCTTGTCCCTCGTCCGCCCAGACACATGGGGATGCCTGGTGAGCTCTTCCTCCAGCGCCCTCTGGTGGGGGGGTGACAGGGACACCCCAGCTCTGAGAGGGGGGCCCCCTGAGCAGGAAAAGCAACTACATTGGCTGCTCAGCAAAGCCCAGGGTGAGTGCAGGCGATGATTCCAAAGTGTGGCCCAGGGACAGGTCGCAGAAGCACGAACCAGGAGGCACGGGGTGCAGGGCACGACCCCCCCACCCCTGAGCGCTCTCCTTCGGAGGTCGTGCCCGCCTGCCCCGCCCTGTGCCCTCCCCAAGTGCCACCCGTCCATCCCACAGGGCGCTGCTGTCTGCGGGAGCCTGGGTCAGGGGAGTGCGGGCACAGCACTGATCCGGGCGGCCGGAGCCAGGGCCAGCCCCACCCCATGGGCTGCTGGCAGCATGCACGTTACTTTTCGTTCAGATGCATTTCCCCCAAATGCCATCCTAAACAAGCTGGTTCTCCACACGGAGGTCACCAAACCAGCCGGCGGTGCTGAGCACTGGCCCGTCCGTTAACACACACGGCGGTGCCAGCTTCTCGGGAGGACTGCGCTGTGGCCAGACCTTCCGGGAGGGACAAGAGGAGAGGCCACAGGCTCAGCCCGGACCAGCCCCCCTCAGCCCGGACCAGCTCCCCTCAGCCCCCCCTCAGCCAGGACCAGCCCCCCTCAGCCCGGACCAGCTCCCCTCAGCCCGGACCAGCCCCCTCAGCCCGGACCAGCCCCCCTCAGCCCGGACCAGCCCCGCTCAGCCCGGACCAGCCCCGCTCAGCCCGGACCAGCCCCCCTCAGCCCAGACCAGCTCCTCTCAGCCCGGACCAGCTCCCCTCAGCCCCCCCTCACCCCGGACCAGCTCCCCTCAGCCCGGACCAGCCCCCCTCAGCCCGGACCAGCCCCCCCTCAGCCCGGACCAGCCCCCCTCAGCCCGGACCAGCTCCCCTCAGCCCGGACCAGCCCCCCTCAGCCCGGACCAGCCCCCCTCAGCCCGGTCCAGCCCCCCTCAGCCAGGTCCAGCCCCCCTCAGCCCGGACCAGCCCCCCTCAGCCCGGTCCAGCCCCCCTCAGCCCGGACCAGCCCCCCTCAGCCCGGACCAGCTCCCCTCAGCCTGGACCAGCTCCCCTCAGCCCGGACCAGCCCCCCTCAGCCCGGTCCAGCCCCCCCCAGCCCGGCCCCGCCCCCCTCAGCCCGGACCAGCCCCCCTCAGCCCGGTCCAGCCCCCCTCAGCCCGGACCAGCCCCCCTCAGCCCAGACCAGCTCCCCTCAGCCTGGACCAGCTCCCCTCAGCCCGGACCAGCTCCCCTCAGCCCCCCCTCAGCCCGGACCAGCTCCCCTCAGCCCGGACCAGCTCCCCTCAGCCCGGTCCAGCCCCCCTCAGCCCGGACCAGCCCTCCTCAGCCCGGACCAGCTCCCCTCAGCCCGCACCAGCCCCCCTCAGCCCGGACCAGCTCCCCTCAGCCCGGACCACCCGGAGGGCTGGGAGGTCGGACTGGGCCGGAGAGGCTGTGGCGGGCGTGGCAGCCGGCACCCAACAGCAGCTGCTCTGCAGCCCCAGGCGCCCAGGACGTCCCGGCCTCGGCTCAGTGCGGACATCTATTTCACTACACCCCGGCCTCAGCCTGCCCAGACCCTGCCCGGGCTGTGGGGATGCCTGGCGCAAGGCCCTGGGCTCTTACTGCCCAGGGGTACAAGCCTGCCTCCTGGGGTCCAGGCCAGGTGAGGCTGGACACGGGGAGACGAGGGACAACAGGTCTGGCATAAGGTCCCTCTGGACCCAAAACATCACACGTGTCTACACGTGTCAATGCTACTCCCACGACCTACACACACATCACACGTGACTCAGGATGTTTCCCTGGAAGCCACCAGGCTAGAATGCATTAGGCCTGTAGCTCAGAAACAAATACTCGAAGCAGTAATAGGCCCAAGAGTCAGCATGCCGAGGGCACAGAGGGGCCGGGGCGGGCTGCCGCCGCTGGATGGACCCCTGAGCGAGCACTGGAGGTAAGTAACCACAGGACGTGTTCCTCTGGGGAAGGCCTTTTCTCTGGAGGGCCGGAGGGAGAAACTCTCCTCCAAGCTTCGGGAGCCCTCTCACGAAAACAAAGGGTGCTCACTGCGGAGCACATGCTTCCCGCCCAGGCCCCACGCCAGCCCACAGCCTCCGTGCTGGCTTAGCAACTCGGTACAATCCAGGAGGAGCAGCTCATGGTTGCCTTGGTAACCCAAGGGATTGAAGACATTAACAAGAGTACACAGTCAAAATCACTTGTTGGATTCTAAAAACACCTTCTGCTTGATAACCGCATTTCAAACCTCAAGCCCACAGCTCAGCAGGCCGCTGTCTCCGGCACAGACGGCTCTCCCGTCCCAGGCCTCCGGGAGCTCAGCACAGGCGGCCCTCGCACGGCCTCATCCCTGCCAGGCGCCGCGGGCTGCTGCTCATGTCCTATCAGAGCTGGCGGATGGCGACACCAAGTGTGGAGCAGACCGGCCCGCCGTCCCGTCCCAGTCTTTACCGACCGCTAGCAGGGGGACAGGTGGCGTGTCCATCGGCTCAGACACCGCCTCCTTCTCACTGAGTCTGGCTCAGCGCCAGCAGGCTCGGGCTGCCTATCAGGACTTTGCAGTGCCTGGATTGTCACAACCAGGAACAGGTTGCTACTGGCTGACATCCCAGGACACCCCACGTGGAGTCACCCAGCCAGGCCGAGACCCTGGTCAGCCCAGCACCCAGCAGGTACAGTGGCCGTGAGGCTGAGGAGGAATCTGTCAAGCTACAGTGCATCCTGGACACCACTGTTTAGTGAATACAGAGTTGCAATTTGGAGATAGAGAGAAAGTTTGGGAAAGAGCGATGGGTGCACAACAATGTGGCTGTATTTAATGCCAGTGAACCTTACACTTAGAATGGTTACAAAGGTGTCCTTTGTGGTTCGCATTTTCACGACAGCGATGCGATGAGAGCTTCAGTGCCCGGGGCCAGAGGGCAGTCTTCCCCCTGAGGAGAGCGAAACAGGTCTCCCCAGGGTCCCCGAAGCCCTCGGGCAGGGGCGGGGCCTCCACCAGCACACGCCATTTGTGATTTTCCAGGACTTATCACCCCACAGTTTGCTGCCTTCTGCCCATCTCTGTCCACTCGCTCGGTTGATTTCTAACCTCTTCCTGGAGAGGGCTCCCCTAACCTAACCACCGCCCTCGAGTCCCAGGGTGCTCGTTCCTCCAGGTGCCCCTGAGAAGGAGGCATGACCAGAGTTACCATCAGGAAGAGCACCTGACATTCAGGGAATGTAACTGCTGGTCACTCATCTGGGAAACAGATACACAGCATCGGCCAGCGTGAAGACTGGCCCGCACAGCGGCTGCGAGAGTCTGGGGATGTGTCCCTTGTCTGCGGAGCAGGCAGCCATGGCCCACCCCACATCCGGGCCCCGGGAACAAGGGAAGGCTTACCGGAGTCCCGGCCGCTGAAGGGCTGCCCGGACGTCTGCGAGAAGGCTGGCACCGGGGACCCGGCCTGGCTCTCGTCCTCCACCTGCTGCGTGATGTGCCGGACGGTCTCTTTGTTTTTCCGATTCTTCCTTCGGCCCGTGGGCTGCCAGCCATCCCCTGCGGCCTGCTCAGAGAAAGGGTTCTGCGGCTCGCCCCCTCCGCAGTGCGAGGGCGAGCTCTGCTCCTCCTTGACGCGCAGAGGCCCGCAGCCCGCGTCGCCGGGCCACAGCGCCTGCGAGGACAGGTCGTCGGCGCTGTTGGCCTTGGACTCCTGGTCCTCTTTGCCGTAGCTGCTTCCTCCCTCGTGACAGCTGGCGATGGCCGAGTCTCCGGAAGAATTGGTGGGACTGGGGCGCCGAGCCAGCCACGGGGAGATGCTCCTTCCGGCCATCACGGCGGAGAGGAGCGCGTCGGCGCTGCTGCCGGGCGGGGCGGCCATCTCGAACTCCGAGAGCTCGTCCGAGGCGTCCGGCTTGATGCTGATGTCCAGCGCGGCCTTGATGAAGTCGTGGCACGCCTGCACGATGTCCGTCATCTGCAGGAAGCTGGCCGCGGACATGACCTCGATGACGTTCCGGCTGGTGAGGGCCAGGTGGGCGGAGTACATGAAGTCGATGATGGCCTGGAAGCCCTGGGCGGTGACGATGTCCAGGTGCGTGACCGTGGCCGGCTCGGACGCCTTCTGCACCTGGCAGTACAGCGTCTTGAAATAGCGGCTGCTGCCGAGCAGCACGTTCTTGTGGGCCTTGAACACCTTGCCCTCGACCACGACGCACGCGTCACACAGGACGCCGTGCTGCCTCTGCTCGTCCAGCTCGCGCAGCAGGTGCCGGTAGTGGGACGCGATTTCCATATCTTCCTTCCGGTTGTTCATCGGGAAGCCTCGGCGCCGCCTCTCCTACACACTCTGTGGGGACAAGAAGGGCAGTTACCACTCCGAGGCCGGTGCTGCGGAAGGACGGCGGAGGACGGCGGAGGAAAGCGGAGATAGGCGGAGGACGAAGGCGGAGGACGGCGGAGGGAGGCTGAGGGAGGCGGAGGAAGGCGGAGGACGGCGGAGGGAGGCGGAGGACGGCGGAGGGAGGCGGAGGGAGGCGGAGGGAGGCGGAGGACGGCGGAGGACGGCGGAGGGAGGCGGAGGAAGGCGGAGGAAAGCGGTCGAAGGCGGAGGACGAAGGCGGAGGACGGCGGAGGACGGCGGAGGGAGGCGGAGGACGGCAGCGAGCCTGCCGCCGGCCCGAGCAGACCCAGCGGGCCCGGCGAGGGTGGGGCAGGGAAGGGAGGCTCTGGTTCAGGCCCTCAGCATGGACACGGTTTTTGGACAGAATCCTACGCGTACAGCAAACTCTCAGAACACAAAGCAAATGTTGCCCAAACAAGGACAATGTCCACCAAGAGTGAAGCGGGACTCTTACCCAAACGGAATATCTAGGGTAAGTCACCTGTGTCCTCGTCCCTCGCCTCTGAAGGAACATCCTAAAAGCAAAACACAAAAGGGAAGACTTCCTACAGAAAGCCCTTGAGCTGCCACAGCCTTCGCCCGATTGCCAGAGGTCTGCCCTCCCCCGGCGCCATCAGCTCCCAGTCGGAGGTCCTGGACCAGCTCTGGTCCCTCGAGGACCCCGGCAGAGGGCGGCACCCCGGGGGCCTCAGGCAGCTGTAGTGCCTTATCCATCTCCATGCTGCGCCCCTCCCTGTGCATTCCGCCTGCGTCTCCCAGCCATGTACCTTGTCCTCTCTCTTCACCGCCTACCTTGGTTTCTCTGGGACCAAGTGCCACAGACCAGGCAGCTTAAACAGAATTCTGTTCTAGCAGCGTCTGGAGGCCTGAATCCCAGACGGAGGGTCAGCAAGGTCCCCCCACTGAAGGCTGAGGGACGGCGCACCTGCCAGTGGCTGACCCCTTGGCCTCCTTGGCTGTGGACATCTCCACCCGCCTCTGCCTCCCCCCGCATCGCCCTGTGTGCCCCCATCCCTGTGCCCCCTCGGAGAACTCCAGCCATGCTGGACTAGATCCGCCTGCTCCACGCACCCTCACCTTCACTAGAGACATCCGACTGATTCCTGGCCACGCAGGGGAGAACCCAGGCACCGTGTGCGAAGAGAAAGCGCCTGCTCATTACCTGCCTTCCCACCTGAATGGATCTCTACTGGCCAGTGAACCAGAGCCCCAGGAGCCAGGAAGGTGGCGGGAGGGGAGAGGAAGCTCAGCGCGTTGTACAGAAGAGCAACAACTCACAACGGGCGGCATGGCCAGTTCTGAAGTGTGGCATCCCTTAGTCAGGAAAGCTTAAACCAGCGCTTCCCAGACACTTGTCGGGAGAAGATGATATCATTTTCGTTAGGGGAAAAGGACGGGGACACGGAACTGAAAGTAATCTAAGATAACAGTCATCTCAGTAGATTGGTCAGCTGTGGGAATCCGGGACAACCTCCATCTCCGGAAGCTTAGGGCGGCAGCTACATGTGTTTCATTTGAAAATCTTTTAGCGTCAGGAAATGTCTGTGGGGTCCAGCCCACCTGGCCAAAGAAGAAACATGGCTGCCTGATGGCCAGCTGCCCAGTCAGTTTGGCTACTGTGATCCTAAAAATGGAAGCACCCTGGACAGCCAAGCCAGTCCTGTCATATACCCACCAACAGTGAGGGCACCCGACCAAAAGTGCGGGCACCCGGAGACCACAGCAAGCTCATGGTGTGAGGGCAAGAGCAGCAGAGCACCTGCCCTGTCTGGCGGAGTGCATCTAACACACACGTGGCCATGGAACACACACATGGCTGTGGAACACACGTGGCCATGGAACACACACCTGGCCATGGAACACACACCAAGCCAATAGAACACACACCGAGCCAATGGAACACACACGTGGCCATGGAACACACACATGGCTGTGGAACACACGTGGCCATGGAACACACACCTGGCCATGGAACACACACCAAGCCAATAGAACACACACCGAGCCAATGGAACACACACGTGGCCATGGAACACACGTGGCCATGGAACACATGTGGCCTTGGAACACACACCGAGCCAATGGAACACACACATGGCCATGGAATAAACACCGAGCCAATGGAACACATGCGTGACCATGGAAGACACACCTGGCCGCAGGACACACAAATGTCCAAGGAACACTCATCTGTTCACAGAACACACATCAGCTCATGGAAACAACCTGTGGGACACGCCTAAGGACAGATAACCTGATCACCTGTGCTGCCGCCTGGAGCAGAGGGCACTTATGCATCAAAGGGGCACATGTGGCACCCCTTGAAACAACCTCTTTGATACCAAACAAACTTGAATCCATGTTCTAGACCAAACCTCCAGAATCGAGTTAGCCAGAATGGGCCTGGGGGCTGGGAGTGGCCCTGCCATGGACAGCCAGGGACATGGTGACGACGGACATGACCCCCCGGGCTGTGGGCAATGCAGGGGCTCCCGGGGAGTCCTGTCTGGGCAGGCAACGTGCCCCGTGCTCCCAGTGCCATTCCAAGGATGAGTGCTTCCCTGATGGAGGCCAGGAAGCCGCCCTCTTGCAGAATGCACAGGGCGTGGGGCGTGAAGACTGCCTGGATGGGTTGGCCAGCTGCACTGTGTGCCCTGGGAGCAGGGCAGGGTAATTTTTCCTTTCGTCCCCAAGGAGCTCTGCCAGGAAGGCAGCTTGTAATAAAAATGTGAAACAGTGGATGCAATTTAGCGGTCTTGTCCCTGTCCACCCGGACGAGCACCAGTCGGTGCAGGGCCCGGGACCCGCTGGCACCCTGCTCCGGGGAGGGGTCACACTTGAGAATTTGGAACAGCTCATAAGACGTGAACGTCCCTCTCAAACATCACCACACTTCTCTCACCTCTCACCTCTGACTTTTCACCTCTGCTTTTCAGCGAGGCTTAACTTAAACTTAACATTTTCCTTGCAGTGTGATCTGACACACAGGTTGTTTAAAGTGGGAACAAGATAACTGTAGTGCTAGAATCAAACTGTGTGGTCCCTCAGCCTCCTGAGGAGGGACGTCTGAGCCCAATTCCACTAGACGGTCTTTGCCACTACATCGGCCAGTTTTAAACGGGACACGGGTTGGACAGACAGTCACTGACAAGACGTGCGGTTGGCCGGCGGGGGAGGTCTCCGCCTCGCGGCCTTCTGGGGGATTTGGAGGAGGGGCCATGCCAACGTCTGGAGGAGGGGGAGCGCTGGGACCCGCACCGCACCCTGGGAACGGAAGGTGGGCAGTCGTTTTGGAAGACAGCTTGCCAGTGTCTTCAAAGTTGAGCAAATACCCTAGGACTCGACAACACCAACACAGGAACCTACCCAGGGGACGCGGGAACACAGACCCACGGGAGGACTTACACAGAAACGTGCACAGCGGCTTTATCATCGCAGTCCCACCAGGAATCCACCCAAACGTGCCAGCAGGTGAACAGGCAGGTGCGTCCCAGCAGACCGGGCACCTTGCCCCCCTCCCGCTCCCGAGCTTGTCTGACCATCCCTCCACACACCTGGGCGGACCTCAAAATAATGACGCTGCAGAAAAGAAGCCAGACAGAAGGGACAGGGCATGAGCGCATTTCTATGAAACTCTAGAAAACACAGCCTAGTCGACAGGGAAGGAGCCAGGAGTCGGCGGGGCCAGGCTGGCTGGGCCGGGCAGAGGGCTCTGGGCTTTGGCCGGTGTTTTCACAGGGTGTGCAAATGCTTCGCTCGCACTAAGCGACAGCAGTATTTGTATGTAAATTACTCCTTAATAAAGTTAACCAGAAATCTATTTTTGTGAAAATAGATTGTTCTTGCTCAACTACAAACCTGTACTTAAATTTACTGACATTTGTTGTGGGTGAGTGTTGTCCCCCCAAAATTCATTTTTTGAAGTCCTAACTCCCAGAGCTCAGAAGGTGACCTCACCTGGAAAGAGGGTCATGGCAGATATAATTGGTGAAGATGAGGCCCCTGAGGGCCCCGATCCCCATGTGGCCCATGTCCTTATAAGAAGGGGAGTTTGGCCGAAGCCGGTTTGGCTCAGTGGTAGAGCGTCAGACTGAAAGGTCCCGGGTTCGATTCCGGTCAAGGGCATGTACATTGGTTGCAGGCACATCCCCAGTGGGGGGTGTGCAAGAGGCAGCTGGTCGATGTTTCTCTTTCATCGACGTTTCTGGCTCTGTCTCTCTCCCTTCCTCTCTGTAAAAGATCAATAAAATATATTTAAGAGAAAAAAAAAGGCGAGTTTGGACGTAGGCACATAGAGAGCACCTGTGAGCACAGATGCTGCTCTGAGGCAAGGAACCCCCAGAAACCGCAGAACCCGGAAGGGTCCTGCTCAGCCTCCTCCCGAGGGCCCTGAGGGCGCGAGGGGATAATGCTCTGTTGCCCAGGACACAGTGTGTGGTCCTCAGTTAGGAAAACCCAGGACGCTCACCACACCTCCCTCCAGAGGAGCCCCAGAGGCCAGGGTGCGGCTGTGAGGGGAGAATCCGCTCCTGGGCTCCCATGTCCGGCAGCACGAGGCAGCCCGACCCCTGGCTCCCGCCTCTGGGCACTCCGTTCCCTCGCTGTGTGTTCAGGTGGTTCACCATGTGTTGAAAACCCACTTTATAAACCAAACTTATAGACACAGTATTATGACGCATGGTTACATTTTGAAATTTAAAAGTGAGCCTGGCCAGTGTGGTTCAGTTGGCTGAGTGTCACCCACGCATCAGATGGTCCTGCGTTCCGTTCCCAGTCAGAGCGCACACCCAGGCTCCATCCCCACTAGAGGCCATGCAGGAGGCAGCTGAAGAGTGTTTCTCTCTAAACGATGTTTCTCTCTCTCTCCCTCTTCCTTCCTCTCTCTCTAAAAATCAATAAAATATGTATTTTTTAAATAAGTTAAAAAATAAAAATCAATAAAAACA